CCCCAAAACCCCAAAACCCCAAAACCCCTTCAGGTTGTATAATAATTGAAATTTTTAATAAAGAAGGTGATTTTTATTAACCAATATTGGATCTCATCAGCTGATCTTTTAGGTTATGCACGCTTGACTTAGCCCAATAGCTTGAGAAGGTGCCTCTTCAGAGGATAATAGGTAAGATTGCCTCGCATCTTGGATGAAAGAAAAAGATGATTTGAAGGAATTTTATAAAGGCTTATGATACATAGGCACCTAAGAGCTCATTCCATGGAGATTAGTGATGGAAATTATAGGTTCGAATCGGATTTGACGAAGGGGATAAGAGAGTCAGATGAAGGGATTTTGAAGAAAATTACACTTATTGGTACTTTGGTGAATTTTTAGTTATAGATCCCACTTATAATCTAAAATCTACCCAGAGACAACCGAAAACTCCATTACCAGTTTTGAGGTAAATTAAGGAACAATTGGTGATCTTTGCCTGATTGCATTAATTGCATACTTTTGTCTTAAAATATACAAAATTGGTCTGAATTCCCTTGATTGCCCTTTTCAAATAATTTTGAGAATTTCTAGTATATTATTAGTTTATAAAACTATACAATAGCCAAGATCCTCATAGCTGAATAAAGCTAAAGAAAATCAAGCATTCAAAGAATTCAATAAACAAGAGAATTTCTGGATTATCTCCAAAATAAGGTGGAGTCTTCCCATATCATCACGCTGGGCTCGAAGAAATCAATGGATAAGAATATTTTCTTGACTCCTACTAATGCTCAGAAGAAGACTAATTTGAGAGCATTTCAAAGAAATGTTAAGGTAAGTTTTTATGGAATCTATAGAGTTGATAGACCCCAACCACTTTCTCAAAATCTGTAATGAACTTTAACACAGAGTTCCAGTGTTTATCAAAGGAGACTCTAGGGACCCTAAAAAATGACCTAAAAATGTCTATTACAAAAACTTGCACAAATTATTCGATCCAGAGATCAAAGCGTGATTGAAAGGTAAGTCCAAAACCTTAATTTTCCCTCATAAATTTTATTTAGATATCTTCAAGGTTCCTTTCAGATCACGAATTTCATGAAAAATAGACTAAAAATGTAAAATTATCTCTTGAACTCAATTAGAAAGCAAATTTGCAAAGAAAAGCAGCGTCGGAAGTTCCTAATAGCCCAAGAGAAAGCTAAGCAAGAGATGGAGGAGCTCCGTTTACAACAAGAGAAGCTTAAAGAAGAGGAGCTAATGCTCCACCTTTCCAAACAGAAAGCCATTGAAAAATAGACAGCAAATCCAGAGACGAATTGAGCAGAGAAGGCTTCATAAAGTCTCAGAGATTGACAGAGTAATCCATGTGTAATCTTTAGATAAAATAAATGGAATTCCACTTCCAAGATTTCTAAATTCACTAGGAAATAAACCCCTATTTCAAGAAATTGAGGAAAAGTTCAAGAATGAGATAATCCTACCTGAAATACAAGAGAGAGCCAAGAAATTGTCTGATATTAAGAAGGTCAGAGGTGGAGCAGTTAATTACTCACAGATAAGGAAGGAGGGAGATCAGTTAATCCAGGATGTAAGTCTTCACATCAATATCTCTATGCTTCCCCTCTTGTTTTTGGACAACTCTTTACAACAACTCTTTATATATTTAACTAAAATCTTGACAAATACCTAGGTTAAATCAATGACACTTAAAAGAGAAGAGAAGCGCAAGGAATCAATGAGCAAGCATAGCTTTAGTTCCAAATAAATATACAAATTTTTTCTACAACTTAGTACAGGAGCAGTACAAAAATGAGAAGAAGGAAAGATCAAAAGTTAAAATTAAGCGGGAGACTCCTACTGGGCTAAAACCACTTCAGGGAAAAGTTAAGGAGAAGGCATCTGATTTAGAGTCAGAAATTGGGGCTATCCAATCTACTGAGAATGCAGATAAGCCGGTTAAAGACCAACAGAATAAAATCGCAATAATTCCTTGAGATAACTCAGAGAGCAAGAGGGATAAGAGTCCTGGCAATCAGGAAGAGAATCATCTTGATACTTACCCTGCTTTTATAGAGGAAGAGAAGCATGACGAGGAATCACCTGAAAATTTACTAGAATACGATCCTTTGATTGAGATCGCCGATGGCAAAGAGAATTCTGAAGGTAAGCGCTATGGTTGACCAGCATAATATATTCAGAAAATTCTCAAGAAATCTCTGAGAAACAGGATTATGACTTTAACTGAATCTTTCAAGGGATCAATATCATCACTTCATCAATAAGAGAAGGTGATTCTTCATCTGGAAATTTTCCTTTTATTGGGGATCCAACTACACCAAGTGCTACAACAAATCCAGCTGTTAATAATAAACAAGGGAGTCCAAAGATTTTAAAGAAACCAAAAAAACAGACTTCTAGATCAAATCTCCCACCAAGTAACAAGAAAGCTACGCTTCGGATTCCAAAACCCAAGCCCATAAAAAAATCTCCAGTTCCGAATAATACACAAAAAGCCGCAGCAAGAAGACTCAGATCCAGATCTGTAGCTCAGAGATCAGCTAGCAGTTTCCAGAACTCAAGACCCCTCATTTCTAATAACAAATCGTAAGTTAGTAATAGTATTATTTTCACTCATATTTTATTTAAAAGCTCTTAAAAGTAGCTAGGCTCTTTAAAATTTCTAAGTTCTCATGTCTGCTTTCAGGTTAACATCTCTCAGGTCTAGCAAGCTATAATTTGCCATCAATGCCTATTGCCTCATGAAATCTCTAGCTGTTGATTCTAAGTAATCATTAGCTTTCTCTGTTATTTTTAATAATTTTTCCGATCGCATAAAGATCAAAATTTAGGAAATTTTCTTGCTGAAAATTAGTAAATTTTAAGGTCAATTTCAGATAAATTTATGAATAATTCTGTAGTGAATCCAAAACTAGAATTACAGAAGAAAGCAGAGGGAAGCCGAAGATGCAGCCTTTTAAGGTTTATGAGAGGAAACAGAAAAGAAAGATAGGGGAGAGGATTAAGAATATGAAGGTGATGAGAATTAAGAGAAAAAGTAGAGGTAAGGGGGATATGGAGGGTTGGAATGGGAGTTTGGACTGAGAATTAGGGGATATTATGGGGATTTTGACATTGGAGTAGGAAGTTGAGTTTTGGGGTGAATTGGCTGGCTTGGAGAAATAATGCTAGAAATTTTTAATAGTGAGGAGTCATATTAAGATATAGATGTGAATGCAAGCAATAAGTCCAAGTCTTCATCAAAACTCATTACTTCTCAAAAATCCTCACAACCTCCTACATCTCAAAAATTTCCTAAAAACTAATTTTCAATACTCACCCTCAGAACCGGGGTTTTGGGGTTTTGGGGTTTTGGGGTTTTGGGG